CCCCCGGGATCATCCCCGGGCACTGCCCAGGGCAGCGCCGCCCGCCCGCGGTCCCGCCGGCCGCCGCCAGGGGGCAGCGTTGTCCCGGCGATGGCGGGGAGCCCGGGGCGGAGGGAGGGTTTGTAATCCTTCCCCGCGCTTGCATCTCAGCTTGCTGGGTTTAGACTCCGTCTTAATTATCAAGCCACTACACAGCATACACAGTTCCCCCCAGTGCTATTTTAAATTCCCAATTGCAGTTTGCGGGGATATTTTCTTCTAGAAATCCACCATACGAACGCTGCTGGGAAAACAATAGGCAGGGTGTAAGTTGTCTTATGTCCCCTTCTCCTGACAGCTTCCTCCTAACGAAGACGTTTATGACAAGAAAAATCAAACCTCTCTCCAGTTCCAGCAGTGCCACACGGTCTTGTCTGGGCCCCATGGTCAGAGCTGAGCTCGGCTGAGCTCAAGCGACTCCAGCAGGTCACAGCCCCAGCCAGAGAAGGCTGAGGCAATGCTGTCCTGGTGGGTGATGCAACCAAAGGCTCAGAGAGGGCTGTATTTCTTACTGGAAACATCTGCCTGTCACTTGGCATTTGAATGAGCAGTTCGAAGCTGCTGGTAGGTGCTTGTGTCAGGGTAATGACTGTGACAGGCTTTTTCCATCTCTGAGGAGGAGGTGGTTGTGACATTTGCTTTGACTGTGGCTTTGAAGTCACTGAATTCCTCTGGTTGAGAAGAATTTCTTCCTAATATCTATTCTAAATTTACCTTCAATTTAAAGACATTCCTTCTTGTCCCCTTACTGTTTGCCCTTGTAAAAAAATCCCTCTCCAGCATTATTCTAGCCCATCTGTTTGCAGGGGCTCCAGAACTTCCTGTTAACAGCCTGCAGGAAAACACCCTGTGTGGCATCATGGTCTCTTTGGGAGGTTCACTGCCACCCTGCCCTCTGAACCTGCTTGCCAGACGCTCCTTCCCAAAAAACACCCACCAGAGTACATGGCTCCTGCAGACAGCATGTACATGTCCAATCTTGTTACAGCCATGACAGGCGAGCAGTGCAGCACAAGTCAAATATGCCAGAGATACCCACACAGTGTCATCCTTCCTGTGCAAAGCACAGGAAACATGGATGCAGCACAGTCCATGCTGGCCACGTCAGCCACAGCAGCATCCTCTGGGAGGCTCCCTGTCCTTGATGTCTACAATGGCTAGTGCTGTTCTGGGCCCACACTGAAAAGGGCAGTGGTGGCACCTGGAATGTGAGGCAAGGATGCCACTTGTGTCTGTGAGACTGGTTCCTTGATCCTCCCTTCTCCCTATCTGCCATGCTTACACATCCCCCTCATCTTCCTTTGCTGCTCTCTTTCTCTGCCCTTCTCTCCTCCCTGCTGTCTGTTCCACCTGAATCCAAGGCTTGTCCCACCTGTGAACAGATGATTTGTCCCATGTATTTCAGGCGCTGTTAACTAGTTCACCTTGGCCTTCCATGGCATTACAGATGTGGTTTCCTGGGTCCTTCTGCTTCTACCAGATTCTTCTCCCCAGAATGACCCCAACTCTTCCTTCAAACATCTCTGAGGTGTGGCCACCTCACACATCAATCCCTTTGCTACCTGTGAAATCATGTTCTTCCTTAGGGCACTGTAGCTCCTTTCAGCTTCTCCCTGTCTTTGTGACAGTCAGAAATTTTGCTTGTCGTGCTCAGGAGCTTCCCAGGTCTGCTCTGTTAGCTAAGGCTTTTGTCAGGCCCCAGTCACCAGCTTCTGTGCCTCAGTATGTCCCTCCCCAAGGTGTCTCTGCATGTGACATTGTCTCCTCCTGTCCTCTCCCTAGCCTTGATCTGCCAGTCTTCTCCATCCTGTGGTGGCTCTGAGCACTCTCCTCTTTGACCACAGTTCCAGCCCTTTAGAGTGAGTCTCTTTGTGTCCAAGTGGTCTGAGGCAGCCTCATTTTGCAGATCCTGGGCAAGGAAGTCCTTGCCTTGCCCAGGAGACCAAACTGGACTGAAAGCATGGTTAACTGCAAACATAGGCAACTTTATTTCAGTAACTAAGTCAACATCAGCACTTGTATATGTGTAGAGGAGCAACATGGGCAGGACAGAGCAGGCCTTCAGCACTGAGGCGGCCTTTGGATCAGCAGGCGCTGCCTCAGCAGGAAACAGTCACAGTCCCATGCAACCTGCACTGGATCCTGTCCATTCTCCTGCTCAAACTGGGATTCCCTGTAGGTTCTTCAGGAGCTCCTTGATCTGAGTGAAGAATTCCATCAGCTTCTTGAGTGGAAATGGGCAGTTGTTAACTTCTTCCACTGGTGTGGGTATCGAAGTTGGCTTCTGAGTGGGGGTTGGTTCTGGCCATGGCCTTGGAGTAGGCAGTGTTGTTGGCCATGGCTTATGAGTGGGAAGTGTTGTTGGCCATGGCTTATAAGTGGGAGATGTTGTTGGCCNAGTGGGAGATGTTGTTGGCCATGGCCTCGGAGTAGGCAGTGTTGTTGGCCATGGCCTCGGAGTAGGCACTGTTGTTGGCCATGGCTTATGAGTGGGAAGTGTTGTTGGCCAAGGCTTATAAGTGGGAGATGTTGTTGGCCATGGC